CCTCGAGGCAGGGATAACTTCTCGGGGGGGCGCAACTTTTGATTTTCCTTCTGGATCTTGAGCTAAAGAGGGATCGGCCTCTCGGCCACCTTCTCCAGTTACCGCATGTTCTTCTTCGTCAATGGTCGACCCATGGGGGACGAACTCTAGTTCATCATCTTCAGGGTAATCCCTGAGCCGGTAGAGGGAGTTGGAGTCTGGTACCCAACTTGTGTTCTCTTCTTGTTTTTTTTCCAGACCCGGACATTTACTCTCTTCTTCCTGGCCTCGGCGTCCGGGGAACTATAAGATTTCCTCTTTTTCCTCTTTTTATCCTCCTATGCAGCAGCTACATGCTGTCCCAAAGCAGAGGGTTTAGCAAGAGAGGACAGAGCCTCGTCCTTGTCCAATGGATGAAACTTAGTGGTCTTGGGCAACCTGTACAAGAGAAAGGACTTAGTAGAAATAAAGGTTGAGTATGAAAGTAGACTTGTTCAGGAGAAGCACTCACAATGGGACCAGACCTCCCACTTACCCTTTGAAAGTTTGCACCATTCGCGCTCAAAATATGATATTTGTTTGCAGATTCACTCGATCCACTCCTTGAAGTGAGGGACTACGTTGGGAAACCACTGCACGGTGATAGGAACAGGCAATTATAAAAAGAACAAAAGAAATTTGAAGTACTCAGGAAGGAAAGAAACTTACGTGCTGAGTTCCACTTTTCATGGAACAGTAAAAATTCGGGGGGAATGAGGTCTTCCGTTTTCACCCGAACAAATCTCCCCTCCCAACCATGATCCCGATCTTCATCGATGATCGAGAATGGAGCTTTACTCGCTTGATGGATGAGCTTGATTAAACCCCCTCAGAAAACTTAGGAACGTAGAGACGAAGTAGGTGGTCGATGGTAAATCGAGGTGCTTCGGTGTTATTGGCAAAATGGAGGAGGAGGCTTACGATCCTCCTAAAGGACGGGTGAATCTGCTCAAGGCAGACCTCGTACCTTTTGCAAAAACTGAGAATTATAGGATCCACCGGGGCAAGCGTGAATGGGTAAGTGTAAACACTTAGGTACCCTTCCACATGAGTGGTAATGTCCTCATCGGGATCAGAGATTACCACTTCATTGCCCTACCAGTTGCAGTCCTCCCGAACTGTAGGGAGTGTATCCTCGATAACTGAGCAGATGTACCTCCATAACCCCTCGCCTTGGTCTTGTTGACTAGAGGCTTTCTCGACTTTGAAGTCATTTTCAATGGAGCAGCCTCCGGGGATGAAGCTCTTCAAGGGAGGTTCCGTGACCACCTCAGGCACGACCACCTCGGCATCCATGGATGGGTTGGAAGTTAAAGGGACGGTTTGTTGAGGCACAGATTTGGAAGTCTTTGCCATCAGATTCTAAGATATATGAAGATTTAAAGGTGGGGATGAAGATTTGAAGGTAAGGATGAAGATTTGAAGATAATGATGAAGGTATGAAGGTCAGATTTGAAGATGAAAATATGAAGGTCTGGAAAACAATGTATGAAGGTTTGAAGGAGTTAAGAATAAGTGAAGAATTCATGGGTAGATTAAGGAGTTCTGGAATGGGAAAGTAAAAAAGTAAAAAAAGGACCGACGCTTTTATAGAGAAGGGGTAATCAATGCGTGTCGTTTTGCATTCGGGGACGTTCAACCGGCGGCTGACACAAATTCGAAGTCAGAACGACGCAACTGATGGGACATTTTACTGACCTGTCAACTCGGTTGTAGCGTACGGAAGAAGGAACCGGGGTTAATTTATCGCTTTACGTCGCTTCGATAAATCTACTCTCCGAGAAATGAAGGGACTATCTGTATACAGGTAAAATCAGGGCTAGAGTTTTCCCCGATTCCCCGATGAGGAAACGAAGGGGAAGCACAGCTCGACATGATTATAATCAAGACCCAAAGACCCCTCGTATCGAAACCCATGAGATATGAACGATGTATCTGGGATCAGGCACGGTGAACTAACGAACCCAGACCAAGTATAGTTTTTGGATCTCGAAAAACACGGAGAACGGTTATGCATGGCGAATATGGGCTATGATATTCGCCCTCAACCGGATATTACCGTGCAAATCCCTTCCGATATCAACTGCGGATCGACATTTACCGAAAAAACAAAAATTTTACCTTATTTAGACTTGTATTAAGACTGAAATTCTCCTATTATATAAAGGGGAAGGTTTATTTTATTTTGACACAATGTGACACAAATCAAAGCAATAAAAGTGTATTTTTGTCTTCTAGCTATTGTTCAAAGTGTTCTTCATTTGTTCTCTTATTTATTCATGATCGAGCATGTATCGAGGGTCTGATCGAGGATAAATTAATGTTCAACCTAAGATCTGGCTTGATCATCACATTGCGATTGGTTTGATTATTTATTTTATCTCTAACTTATACATGTTGTTCTTAATCATTCGTATTGAATCAAATCACATATCTTTTAAACCGCGTATAAATTTAATTGTTACTCATTTTTTTAGAGTAAACACATATAATATTAGACAATTGATCAAATTAACTTTTGAAAAGTGCAAAGTCTCTAGCGTTTAAGGATTGAGTAGAAAAGAACATTTGGATAATTCTTTAGCACTACATTCATGATATAATTTAAATTTTAGCAGTTATACTTTTAAAGTTTTTTTATTATCTTATGATATGGTATTTATATAAAATGTAAAAGCTATCCTAATTTTTTGGTTTGATTCAGCCTGTTTTAATAATATTTTGGGCACCTTTATCTAGAAAAACGAAATCAAACTATAGCAATATTAAGACACCACGTTTTGGGAAATCCCTCCCTCGTTTGCTCTATGTGCTTTCAAAGTAGGGATGGGTATCGGTCGGTTCGGTTCGGTTTGTAAAATTTCGGTTCGGTTAATTTGGTTTTCGGTTTGTGATTTTAATAACCAAAATCGAACCATAATAATTTCGGTTCGGTTTGGTTTAATCAATTTGATTTTCGGTTTAGCCATGGCAAAAATAGTACAAAACAACGAAAATAGATTACTTTTTACCGCCGATGCAAGTGCTTCTACTGTCAATACAAAGAGGACATTTGACCTAATTCAACCCCAAAAGTTAGACATGATTACCCAAAATCAAATGAAATGGGACAATAGTTTGTAACATTTCGGATGTGTAACTGTAGCAGGCAAATAAGGAAGAACCTAAAGTATAAGAAGGTAATTTCACGGTTGTCGCACCTACTATTCATAAGTTCTCCATGCAGCCTTGATTTCTTCCTTGCTCTCCTTGTGGGCATTTCTTTAGAACTTTACCGAAAGTTTTCCATATTGTTCCCTTTCCTCTTTCAATATTTTAGGTAAACAAGAAAAAGATTTTCATTTTATATGTCAAGTGCTTATCATTTTAACATCTGTTATTGCTCATGTTAGGCATATATTTTACGCTGAAAAAGCAAAGAGGTGATCTCAAGCACCAATGGACAAGAGGAGAACCAGATACTGAAATTCGGTTTTTCGGGTAAACCGAAAACCGAACCATTAAAACCGATCACCGAACCAAACATCTAATGTTTTAAAATTATAAATCGCAAACTGATCGAATAAATCGAAAAACAGAAACCGAATAAATCGATTTTTTCGGTTCGGTCAGTTTTTTCGGTTCGGTCGGTATTATGCTTTCAGGTTGTTTAATAACTAATAACTGGCTTTAATTTTTTATAATTATGAAATACCGCCTTTTCTCAGCAAAAAAGAAAAAGAAAAGAAGGGTATATGAAAATATGGACAGTGGGTGAGCAGTGAGCTAGTATTCGCCATCTTTGGCTAGACCGATTCATTTATAGTTTAAGAAGTTTCTAAATATGATACCATTATCCTAAATATAGAAGTAATAATGATTGTATTGGTACTTTCTGTTTACTAACTTATTATCCTATTTCCTGAATATGATACTATTTACGTAGAATAGCTATTGGATGGTTCAAGCTCGGCGATCCTACTAAGACCATCTCCCACCCTTCTTCCTTTTGTCCTCCAATATAGAGTAATAGTTTTTTTTTGGTAAGGACTCTGGTGAGCACTTGCGTACTGGGTAAACTTTTTCGTGTAGTAATTTGCAAACTACACGGGATGTAAACCGCACTAGGCAACCCCTGTGCGACAGGCTCAACCCAGGATGGATTGAGGGAAAAATCGATCTCAGGTCATCCATAAATGACCGCCCTCCAAACCAACTGGACAACCCCGAAGGGTTAAAATGGAGTAAAGTTACTCCAATCATTACTCCATTTTTACTCCAAAAAGGAATAGTTCATTTTATATTCTTCTCTCTTCAATATTATATTGTTATCTTTTATTTAATTTTTATTTTCTTATTTCTATTAAAAAAAATTCTATCTTTTTTATACTTGCGCCATTCATTTTTTGAGATGATTATATATTTTTTGTACAATTATAACTTATAATAAAATTAACTTACAATTTTACATAAAAATAATAAATACACGAAAATTAATTTATCAAAATTATACGCCAAAGTTAAGATATAAAATTCTATTATAAAGATATTATATAAACATAATTAGGTATATAAAGAGATATATTAAAAGAGTTAAATAATAAAAAAAATAATAAAGTAAAAATGAATAGTAAAGGAGTAGCGCTCCAAATTTTAAAGAGTTAAATTCACTAACACTCTTAAAGATTTTATGTCCAACTTCATATTGAATAGTATTAAGTAATCCATTCTCCGTACACTGCCAGATGGAGCCGGAGTACTTTAATTTGCTAGGTCTAGCGACATCAATTTTAAAATAGTCATAACTATAGAAATAATTCCACTACAAAAAGAGATAAATCTACGTTAAATTTTTTTCAGGAAAAAAAAAAGAAGTTTCTAATCATCGTGTTTTACTGGATCACTCCCTGGCCCTCTCCTAAAATGGTTTGATTTAAAGAAAATCAAATAAGAAAAAGAGAAAACAAAAGGCTACTTAGAGAGAGGAGGAGAAAATTAACACGTATAATAATATAACTAACTTTATTCATCTCATAATCTCTGCATTTTGCAACGAGATCGAAACTGAACAAAACATACACAAAGACAGAAATAAAATATAAAATATAGGGTACAAACAATATCAATAGCTTAGACAACATGAAGCTACAAAAGAAGTTCGCCTCCTATGGAGGCTTATTATTTACGCATTTTTTCTTCTTCTTCTTTTCTCATTACCTCTCGAAAATGGAAAAAGCCTTTCTTTTAGCTCAACATTCTGCGCTTCCTGCATAAGAATATACATTATATGATTAGTTCTTAGTAATATCAAAAGATACTGAAAATTCTGAACAGCTGGTGACTGATAAATGAAGATAAGAAAATAAGAAGCAAAGAGTGCAGTTCTTTATAAATTATATTATATTAATGTTTTGCATGAAGACAGTTATGCAATTTGCTTTGCATTCTTGAGATATCATTATGAAAATGTCTTCAATAATTTGGCTTTATTACCTCCAACTTTGTGATGTCACTTCTTAGTAATGGTAGGGAGGAGGAGGAGAAGCGTAAACATAGGGGTGGTGTGGTGGGGGAGACTTGTTGACTGGAGTTGGCGGTGGAGGAGACTTATAAACTGGTGCAGGATGATACGGTGTTGGTGAAGGATAGTATGGCTTCTTTGGTGGTGGTGGTGACTTGTAAACTGGAGTTGGTGGTGGCGGGGACTTGTAAACTGGGGTATATGGAGGATAGTATGGCTTCTTGGGTGGTGGTGGTGACTTGTAAACGGGAGTTGGTGGTGGTGGCGACTTATAAACCGGGGTATGTGGGGGATAGTATGGCTTCTTGGGTGGTGGTGGTGACTTGTAAACGGGAGTTGGTGGTGGTGGTGACTTGTAAACGGGAGTTGGTGGTGGTGGTGACTTGTAAACGGGAGTGTGTGGAGGATAGTATGGCTTTTTGGGTGGTGGTGGCGACTTATAAACTGGAGTGTGTGGGGGATAGTATGGCTTCTTGTGTGGTGGTGGTGACNGGTGGTGGTGGAGACTTATATACAGGGTGGTGGGGTGGTGATGGATAGACATGCACTGGTGGAGGAGGAGACTTGTAGAGGTATGATTTCTTAGGTGGTGGTGGAGATGAGTATTGATAATTTGCTGAGCTTTCAGAAGCTAAGCTCAGTGACACTAAAACAACTAAAAGAGAGGCAAATAGAGAGGCCATTTTCCCCATCTTTGAAACAAATGAGAAAAGTTGTTGTCCTCTTAAGCTTTACTCCGAACTCTTTATATAGCTTTCAATTATACAATTACCCTTTTCAATATTTTCATAAATGAAGGTAAAAGTCTCACTAGATTACTTAAAACCTACCAAAGTAAAAAAGCTAGAGTATGCATTTTGATTTGGTTTTGTCATGTTGTCGGCTCAAATTGACTTGAGTTGGTATACTTTTTTTGTTCGATAGAGGCTGCAAGCTAAGCATAGCTGGAATTAATAAACTATTATGGCAGCTATACTATTTCTGATGCAATAATTCAAAGAGAAAAGTCTCCTTTTACTTTCTATCTTTTTATACTGTACTGAAGCTTTGAAAAACAAGTGTGGATGCCTCAACTTTGCACGATTTCAGTTACAGAAATCTGAGCAGATAGCCTTTTTATATATCTCTTTTAACTTTAATTAATGTTCTATTCACATGTATGACTAATTTCAAAAAGAAAAACTATGAAACTTGACATTTACTACGGAAATCACAAAGAGTGAAATTAACTCACTTGTATCAGACATTGATAAATTGAGTAAAGTTAATATTCAATCATGATTAGTGTCGATCCTTGTGTCGCTCTAAAAGGCTTTATATGTAAATGATTTCCAGTACAGTAAATTAAGTTAAATTCTTCTTGTATGATTAATGCTTCTAGTGAAGAATCGGACATGGATCGGATCGGATGACTCAGTTCAGCTTTGAACAAGTTAAGTTTTTCACTTGATGTTGAAGAGTTGATGTAGTTTATGGCATTCTGGTGCAGAAACATAGGTGTACAACTTCTGACTGATTAAGCACATGTACTCAAGAAGCATGTACAGGATCTTTTAGTCTAGCCTCTCTAGCTATAAAAATAGTCCGGGAATAGTAGAGAAATTAAACACAATACATCATATTAAGAGATATGATTCAAGAACCAAATTCATGGTTATTTTTCAATCAACTTATAAGAATCAATAATTTAACTTAGCGTTTGACCAGAAAGTGTAACTTTCGGCTAAAATATTAAATTTCAGTAATATTGGGTTAAATCTAGTTAAAGATAATAACTTTAGATGCAAGTCTTGAAAATATGTGGGAGATGGGGACAGATCCCGTAAAAGATTGATGATAATAAGTATAAAATATCCTTAAAGTTTGAGCAATAATAGAGGTGTAACTAGCAAAAATAACAATAAATAGCATTTAAGTAAATCAGAGAAATGATTCAACCAACAATGGATGGATTGGACGAATGTTTCTCCTAACAATGATGAATGACAGATAGATCCACGATTTGCTTGATCAATCCTCGGATCTGGTGGAAAGATGTGGAATAATATGAGCAAGAATCTTGATGAAAAGGTAATCTTTGTATATTTGCAAAAGAGATAGAATCTTCTTCTCAAAAAGTGTTCTTATCGAATGAATATTACATGTCTTTATTCCCTTTTCTTTTTTCCTTATATATTTGACACATATCCCTAGCAAACCCTAGTAATACATCTAATATCCTATTTTGAAAATTAGTTGTTACTGTTCTTTACACGATGCTCGACTTCGGTCATGGTTGACATCTCGGCCACGAATCTTGTTTCTCCCTGGTCGAGCTCGACCGACTCTTTCCTTAATATTGTATTACGTTAGATATCCTTAGGCCAGATTTTGGCATATACAGTTAGTCCCTCCACCTATTAAGGCCGACCCCAGACGGCCATGATGAGCGGAGTTTGTTTATCCTGGTTGGCAAAATTGGGCGAGCAAGTCGAGTAGTGGCGTTTTAGATGAGGTGACAACATGACCTTTCGTGAACCGCAAACTTTGGGGTCGCATTATTTTAGAATGACGTCATGACATCATGCGTCATTATGGAGTATTTTTCCAATGCTTTGCATCGTTTCCCGTACCTTTACCATTTCGATACCTGCGCTGGGTAATGATGGCCTGATTTCTTGGTCCTGACGCTTGAACTCTTGTAAATAAGGACATGAGACCATTCGTTTGTGTTTTAAATATTCTTAATATCGAATCTTTGTGTCTTCTTCTCAATTTTTCATATTGAATCCTTTCTTTTTTTTTACTTCGTTATCGCGTATCCACTCTCCTGATTCTGGTGATTCCATTTGCTTTCAACACTCCTGTACTTAAAACATATTCTCTAGAAAATATGTTAACGTACCCTCTGGTTCCTACATGGCAACTGACCTTATCCCTTTGGCGGTGCGTATGCCTCCTCATGGCGATAGTGTTTCTGTTGCCATTGAAGACGAGAATTTCCCTTCGGTGGAGGAAATAATCCCTCGTAGTGAAAAAGTTAGGTCCGACTTTTCGAAGATGCCTGAGGACGACCCTGAGGTCTCGGAATCGGCGATGAAAGAGGTCGATCTCGTTGAGCTTAGGGCAAAGTTCAAAATCCCTGCCCATATCGATCTGATCCCAGCGGGGCGCGATGTGGTACAAATACACCGCCCTGGATATTGTGTGTTCTATGCGTATCGTTTCTACGTTGGCTATTCCTTTCCCCTTCTCCCATTGGCGGAGGAATTTTGCCGATATTACAGCATTTGTCCGTCCCAACTCTCTCCATACATCTACAAGCATATCCGCATGTTGACGAAATATGCGGAGTTGGCCGGGGTCGGGGTCACACTTCACCACCTGATGCATCTCTTCGCCCGAGTTTCTATAGGGGGACGATAATGCACCTTCGCCACAAAGGAAGTAAATGTCTGGTGGTGAATATGGACGACAAGGCAAATCGCTAGTTCTGGCTCAACTTCTTTTTTGTCAAGACCGAGGACGTGGTGGCCAACGTGCACGGATTCCCTAAGACTTGGAATTACGCCCGTAAATATCCATTTTTTGTTAAGAGTTTGTTCTGCATGTTTTAGTCGTAGTCTGACATTCAGTCCTTTCTTCGTGCAGCCGAGACTACGCCCTCTCCTTTGGTCGAGGACATTCAAGACTGGGTCAGCCAGATTCTGCCTCACACAGTGGGGATTCGTGNATATACTGTTTTGACCTCATAGTCGTTTGCTCGTTATAGTTTTGTATAGGAAGTGACTATCTTTTGATCTTTCTTTTTCAGTCCAAGGATCATCGAGGAGACCGAGGGCTCCTGCTCCTGCATTTTGTAAGAGGAAGGTTGCTTCTTCTTTGGAGTCTGTTCTTGTTATAACCGTGACCAGTCCTGCCCGGTTGTCTGCTTGTGTTCCTTCTTCTGTCATGGCTAGGTTTGCTCGTTTGTCGACTACATATGCTGCAGAAATCCCTACTTCCCCTTTGAATCATCTAGTAGATGAGGACGATGAAGAGGAATCGTCGTCGAATGGTGGCAACTTGCCTCCCTGCAAGAGGAGATCAATGGACGTCGGTAAAGGAGCTATCCGGGCAGTGAATTTGGTGATGGGGGATTTCGGCGTCCGAGAAACGGCGACCATAGAAATTGAAGATGATGCCGAATTAATGCCCGTGATTCCGCCATCATCTGAAGCCGAAGAGGGCACGTCTCTCCCTGAGACCGTGATGGAATTTGAAGAGCCATCGGCGAGAACCCCTAACGACTTACTGCAGGATGAGCCATCGGTCTCGCGCCCGGCCAAGGATCCTTCTTCGAGGGCCGAGATAAAAGGAAAATGCGTAGCCTGGGAAGGTTATGAGATGGGCTCCGATATAGATGCCTAGGAGGTGAGGATAATGGGAGAGGCACTTACCCGACTTGAGGTGACATTGGAGGGGACCACGCGGACTATTGCAATCCCCATGTATCGGGATTTGCTGGTTGACACGGAGGACGTGGTCCCTTCTCTTGGTCCCCTATGTTCTAACATGGTCCCTTCTCTTGGTCCCCTCTACTCTAACGTGGTCCCTTCTCTTGATCTGTTGCTAGGAGCATAGTCGGCCTCGCTCTTAGGGTAAGTTTTTTTATCCCTCTTCATTTTTTTATGTCGACTTCAAAGCTTCGTTCTTACTCTTCGTTTTTTGTTTCTCTTTCTTTAAGACTGTAATTTTGGAGATTGAGAGCGCTGGCGAGAGGAGAGGCGTAAGTCTATTTTTCAGAAGATGGAGCAGAAGTATCGTGAATACTATAACAAGCACCGCGAGATCTACAGACGGTTCGGTGAGAGCGGCAATTTCTATGCTCTCCAAGATGAACTGAAGGAGAAGGATGACGAGTTGGTATAAGTCATCAAAAAATACAACGTTCTTGAGGGGGCGTTAAGGGACAAAGAATAAAAGCTTGAGGTGAGCAAGGGGGTCGAGGCTCAATGTGCCTATCTTCAAGCCTATGTGGTCTTATTGCGCATCGAGATCGAGGAGTGTGAACTCAAAGCGAACGCTCTGAGTGGTGAGGTCGCTGAGAAGGTAGCGGATTTAGAGAAGGCGGAGTTGGCCCGGTTAGGGACTGCAAGGAAAGCGGAGGCTTTGGAGATCGTGATCCGCATTCTTCGTTCTGAGCAGGAGAGTGCTCTGGAGATGGCCAGGCTCATTTAGGAGCGGCTTGAAGAACGGATAGGGGAGCTGGAAAAAAGCGGCTTCGGGCCTTTATGATGGAGTTGCTGCTCTCGAGGCCGAGAAGGCACAGTTATTGGCTGAGTCATCTTCTTCCCGTACTTCTGCTATTCCCGATGTTCCGCGGGATTTTTACGTTGAATGGATTTACGTCGAGGCCCAACTGGATATATTTAGAGATATGATGGGGGTGGGAACTATTTCAGAGGCCGACTTCGAGGATGCTCTTGTTAAGACACGTAGAGCTCGGGTTGCTTGTTGCTATGATCCCACTACACCAAAGGCCGGTGATGTCGAGGGTGCGGATGTGGATCTAATTGAATATAATTCCTGGTATGAGGATGAGTGTCCCACTGGAGATGGCGAAGAGGCAGATGGAGATGGCCTAGGAGATCAAGTCGATGGCGTTGTTGGGCCACGTGGCAATTAGTTGTTTTTTCTTTCCTTCGTTATTTTTAGCAGCAGACTTGTGTAATTTTTGTGGGCGTATTTTCGAGCCTTTGAAAAAAATATTCAAA